GCTGTGCGTGGCCTGTGAGCTGTGCGTGGCCTGTGAGCTGTGCGTGATGTCCCTCCCAGACCTTAGGCTGTGACCGCTTTGTACAATTCTGTGAAGGTTATATGTTTTTTAACATGATGGCTCAACTTCATTCTGCCCTGATTGGACAGGCTGCTGTCTGAAAGTGTTCTTTTAATGGTTTGTGAGTGCCCAGAGGGGAGGGGGAGGGGCCCCCTCTAGGATATGTTCTTATCTGCATTTAATAAAGATTTTAACATAAGGCTTGGGAGTCTGTTTGCTTCTTTGATCTAATTAATGGGACCATATGGACCATATTTTAGCATGAATTCTTTTAAAATCGGCAGTTAAATCAAAAACATAGTAGTTCTAGTTTATAAATGTCCTTGATTCTGAAATCAATTCAAATCAATTGATTCCTTGATTGCCCCCGTTCATCCATTGTCCACTGCTTATCCGATTCACGGGGGCAGCAGTCTGAGCAGAGATGCCCAGACTTCCCTCCCCCGGCTACCTCCAGCTCCTCTGGGGGAATACCCAGGCGTTCCCAGGCCAGCCGAGAGAGAGAGTCTCTCCAGCATGTCCTGGGTCTCCTGGTTGGATATGCCTGGAGCACCTCCTGAGGGAGGCTTCTAGAGGGCATTCCCGATAGATGCACGAATCACCACATTTGAGGCGAAGGAGCAGCGGTTTTACTTTGAGCCGCTCCTGAATGTCCGAGCTCCTCACTCTATTTCTAAGACTGAGCCCAGACACCCAGTGGAGGAAACTCATTTCTGCCACTTGTATCTGTGATATTGTTTCAGTCGCTACCCTGAACGTGTAACACTGATGAGGGTAGGAACATAGATCGACTGGTAAATCGAAATTTTTGCCTTCTTACTCGGTTCTGTCTTGAACGTGACAGACATGGACCATATAACTGCTGATGCCGCACCGATCTGCCTGTCGACCTTCCGCTCCATTCTTCTCTCACTCGTGAGCAAGATCCCAAGATGCCGAAACACTTGACGCAGTAACTCACCCCCAACCTGGAGGGGGCAGTCCACTCTTTTCTGGTTGAGAACCATGGCCTCCGATGTAGAAGTGCTGATCCTCATCCTGACTGCTTCACACTGGGCTGCAAACTACCCAGTACACCCTTAAATCTGTTTTGTTGTCCATTATATGATATCTAATATCCAGTTTTGCATTTCCTCTGTGTGAGATGATAAGCTTGCAGGGGCCTAAGTTGTGTTGCTCCTCTGGTTTTGGGATAAACCTTTAGACGTGTGCATCATTCTTCTGTTCGTTGTATTAAGGAGGTATAATGACACCGGACACTATCCATCCATCCATCCATCCATCTTCTAAAACTGTTTGTCCTGTTCAGGGTGGTGGGGGGTCCGGAGCCTACCCCAGAGGGATCAACCCAGGATGGGGCACCAACCCATCACAGGGCACACTCACACCATTCCTCGAGACAGTAATAATTATTTAATTACTAACTTATTAGAATGGCCTCTAAGACTCAAATAATAGCAAGAAACAAACTTGTTGACTCGTTTAAACCACTTGATCAATAACCACATTGTTTCAATGACCAAAGGTCTTTAGAATAATCTGTAGTAACTCCATCCTCTAGGTAGCCTGGTAGCAGTGATTTTCCAGCCATGGTTCTCGTTTTCAGCTCATAGTATGGTGTTTGCTATGCTTTGAATACTTCCACACATTTTATATCCCAGGAAAGAGGGGAAAAGCTCCATCATGCTGGTGTTTTGGGTGCTTTTCGACAGAAGCCCAAGCTTAGTCCTCAACCTCAGCACTGGTTTGAACTGTTGAACTGTTTGTCCTGCACTGTCTCATCCTGTATTTGTTTGCTGTTAGCCCTGCACTCTTATCCTGTATTGCAGTATTGTTTGTCCTGTATTGTCTTATCCTGTATTTTACTGCTGTTTTTCTACACTGTCCTATCCTGTATTGCA